CGCCCTCCCTTCCCCCCCCCTGGGGGGGGGGGGGGGCAGGCTAGACCCAAGCTGTCTGCTCCAGCTGAGCAGGGAAGCGTACTCTAGCGCCCCCCGCCCTCTGGCCTAGGATACTGCAGGCATGTGGCGGTATTTCCAGAATCAAAAGTGAATGTCTGTTCACTTGCTTATTAGTTCAATCTATGCAGCTTAGACTAACCTGTGAAGATTGAATTGACTCAGCCTTAGGCTTTTTGACTGTCTGTACTTAGCCTATAAATTTCCTTTAAATTTCATTTTAAAATTATAACAGATATTTTAATAAAATGTTCCAAACATTTTTGTTACAGTCTTTTAAAACACTGACAACAGATAAGACAGATAAGCTAGCAAAAATAGAAACTGAGGTCCTTGCTGTATGTCACACTTAGGATGTGTTAACTGAAATTAAAATGTGAGTGTCCGTGCATTCAAGCAGTAAAACAAGGGCTAAGTACACTCAGATCACAGAAAAGTTAGGACTTTTCATGGAAGGAGCATCTCCAGATAGTATTTAGTAGCACATGTTCTGCTATCATCCAACCAGTCCACAGAGATAATATGAACAATTTGCAGTCCCAAGGCTGGTGCCCACAGTCACCTGACTGACATTCCCAGTTCTGCGACCAAATGGGAGACTCAGACTGCTCCAGTGTGGTCCCAGGGCAGAAACTGACAATCACCTGATTGCCAGTCCCAGCCCTAGGATGACACTGGAGTCTTGAATGGACTCTGGTCCCAGGACACTGGCAGGATGCAGAAGCAGGGGCAGCACCCTTTCTCATGCTTGGCTCCTCATGCCTCCCTCCTCCCACAGCTCATGACAGAGACCCAACTCACCAGAGCTTCCCAAGAAGCATACAGGTCGGGACACCATAGTAAGCATTACCGTGCAACTGCTCAGGTTACGTTTTAACTTTTATATGGCATAGCATAGTAATAATGCTTAATTTGTTAATTTACGTGTCCTTGTAGATTACCTGTGTTTACCACAAGCTGTCTCATTACAGTTTAGAGCCTTCTCCAATCTTAATACTCTCACAGTCCTGACATTTTTCTTTAATAAATACATCATTAATGCTAGTTATATTCTTCTGTACAGCTATAAACATTTGTCTCACTAACTGATATAGATATATCCTTATGATACATCAATGTATGAGACTTAGAAAACTATCATTAAAATTTACATTGCCAGCTGAATAATCTATTTATCTTCCCATTACGGTAGGGATGGTGGAAATCAAATTATATTCCACCTGTCTCTCAAAAAAAAGTTCTGCCTGATTAGTGGGCTAGTAGATTAGTGGGCTAGTGCCACTACTAGTGGCTAGTAGAACTGACTTTTAGGATCTTTAGGTTAAATTGATACATATAATATACTGCTGTATGAAGAAGGTTGTGAAAAAAGCAAATGTTTTAGCCAGTTTGTTTTACAACAGCTACAAGAAAATGCACAATAATTAACATTTACCCATATATAATAACATAGCATAAAAAGAATGCTGTGGAAGCTTCAGTTCAATTAAGCAAAGGTGTAAATGTTCACCCAAATCTGAAAATGAAGCATTCTGTGATGTTTGATAAAGTTCAGGTAACTTTGTGTATCTGAAATTTCACAGGCCACTGCCTTTCCTTGTGTCACCTGAGGCTAGAAGCTAAAACTCCAAGACACAAGCTGTTGTTGCAGTATTTCTAACTTGACTGCAACTAGAATGGGCTAGAAATCTCACAAGGGTGTCTGCCTCATAAGATTTCCACAAAGGATTATTGTGTAATATTCAGAAGGGCATTCAGAATTTTCGATGCATATCTA